GTACTTAACCAGAACTGGAAATCAGTAAAAAGTAAATTAATTTGGAACAAATGAGAGATACCTGGAAAGAAGAAAATAATAGAGAGAGAGATAATTAGTGAGAGACAGAGGGAGAGAGTAAGAGAGAGAGAAAGTGACTGAGAGAAAGAGAGTAAGAGAGAGAAATAGAGAGAGAATAAGATTGAGATTGTAGAGAGAGATAGAGACTGTTAGAGAGATAGATTGTTAAAGAGAGAGAGACTGTTAGAGAGAGGTAAGATAGCCGAGAAGAGAGAAAGAGTGTTTGAAGAACACAAAGAGATAAAAAGAAGATAGATTGTTTGAGAATTATTTCCAGAAATTACATGTTTCTTTCATTTTACAATCCCTTATGTATATACACAAAATAGACATGAAATCCATATCAATCGTTGCCAGTGATGCCAGAAAGGTGAAGAGAGCCAATGTTTCAAAGGAGTTTTCCAGTTGGCTGCATTGAATGGAGGAAGAAGATGAAGAGTCGACTGCGTGAAGAAGAAAAGATTGAGAGAAGAGTCAGTCGGTTCACTGAATAGAGAAGAAGCGGTTCAGTGCGACCCAGTTTTTGGGGTTTTAATATTGCTTCCACGATCATGACACACATCCCTCTAGATCTCTGTGGATGCTGCCACATATCAATTAATTTTGGGCGGAAAGTTAATGCACGACTTACACTTGAAAAACCCTTTGGGTTTTGCTTTCTTATGGGCCATTCTATCTTCCTCTTTCTGCTCACGGTTTTGTTTGTTCTCTGCAGGTGATTTCACTGTTTTCTTCGTGCACCTTTTGCGATTTCTTGCTTTTCTACTTATTTTCCGATGCTTATAACCAGGTTTTAACAATATACTCTCCTTGAGCATCAACCTTGTCCAAGATTGAGCTTCAGCTTCCAAACATTTAATGTCAAATGATATTATTATTATATATAATTTTTTTTACTATGCTACAGAAGAACTCTCTACTATGTTTTAAGTTTATTTGCATTTTCCTATTGCTCTTCCTTCAGAGGTTGATCCTCTTCACATTCTCCTTCCTCTTCTTCACAAGTCTCCATTGTCATGGCTATTTTTTCTTTGCACTGATGCTCCGGAGAGTATTTTTTCCGCATCTATAGCCTCTTCATTTCTGAATGATTTGGACACCTCAAGAGTGTTGCTTTTTGGAAATTTTGAATTTTGGAAATATTTTTAGTGATGGGAACACTTACTTTGAGTTTGAGCGGGTTGGAAATAGTTAAAGAGTATTTTGGTTTATTATGAAGGTTGACGACATCTACTTCTTGTTCTTGTCAAAGGGCAAACTCAACTACTTGAGTCAGGGTGCATGACCTTTGCATCCTCACTGTCGTTCTGAGTTCCTTGTTCAGATCACTTGTAAAGATGAAAATAAAATATCTTTCAAAAAGTTTGGAGTTTTCTATTAGTTATAGAACCTCATTTCTTCAAAATTTTCTTGATATTGGAGAACGGTATCTTCTTGGATCAATTTGTTGAATTCCTCCACAATATCTACTTCAGTTAATTTTCCTAACCTTCTACATAATTCTATCTCAAATGTTTCCCATTCAAATATGTTAGTCATTTACTAACCTATGGAACCAAATATCCGACTTGTCTTCCAAATATATTGAAATTGTTTCCACTGTACTATCTTCTAAAATGTTGAAAACATGAAAATTCTTGTTGCATCTTCTAGGCCATATTCTAGGATTGTTCCCTTCAAAGGTAAGAATTTCAATTTTCAGGGTAGGGTTTCATGCTTAGTTGCCCCTCTTGTTTGAATTGCCAACTCCTATTTATTTGGTTCAAGGGTTTGGTAAAATTTCACTATCAATATTTAAAACAGAGGCAGATGGACTTTCCCAAGCAGCTGTTTCACCAATCCATGCACTGCCTTGCAAGAATGCAGTGAGCCTTTCCAATTGTTGGTCGAGCATAGCCAGTCTTTGGTCCATAATGGTTCTGGTTTGCTGCTGTGATTCATATATTTCGTACCTAATGTTCGAGAGCTTTTGATCCATCTCTCGCGCATATTTTTCTCTAAAGTGGCTTTCGTTTGAGGATTTGATGCTGTGACTTCATTCTTATTTTTCACTATAGTCACGAAACTTGCAAGAGTTCCTTCAAAATTAATCTGCTCTGATGCCAAGTTGTTACAGCCTGACCTTGGTATGTACTTCACTGGAACCAGAAATCAATAAAAACTAAATTAATTTGGAAGAGATGAGAGATATCTGGAAAGAAGAAACTAATAGAGAGAGAGAAAATTGGTGAGGACTGAGAGACGAAGAGACAAAGAGAAAGAGAGAGAGAAATAGAGAGATTGAGATTGTAGAGAGAGATAGAGACTATGAGAGAGAGATAGACTGTTAGATAGAGAGAGAGATAGACTGTTAGATAGAAAGAAGATAACTGAGAAGAGAGAGAGAGTAATAGTTTAGAGAGAGATGTGGCTGAGAGATAGCCGAGAAAAGAGAGAGAGAGTGTGTGTGTGTCTGAAGAACATACAGAGATAAAGAGAAAATAGATTATTTGAGATTCATTTCTAAAAATTACATGCTCTTTTTGTTTTACAATCCTTTATTTATATACATAAAATGGTACATGAAAATCCCTATCAATCATCACTGTTGATGTTGGAAAGGTGAAGAGTGCTGACGTCTCAGAGGAGTTTTTCCGGTCAGCTGCGTCGAATGGAGGAAGAAGATGAAGAGTTGGCTGCGTGAAGAAGAAACAGTTGAAAGAAGAGTTGGTCCAGTCACCGAATGAAGAAGAAGCAGTTCAGCAAAACCTGGTTTTTGGGGTTTTAAATACCTCCTCCATGATCGTGACACACGTCCCTCCAGATCTTTGCAGATGTGTCAATTAATTTTGGGTGGGAGTTAATGCACGACCGACACTTAAAAACCCTTTGGGTTTTGCTTCCCTGCGGACGGTTCTATCCATGTTTTTTCTTTATCCCCTGCAGCCTATTTCACTGTTTTCTTTGTGCACCCATCATGATTTCTCACTTTCCTGCTCATTTTCCAGTGTTCATGACCAGTTTGTAATATTAACATACATTTTTAATAAAATAGATTTGGTATGCATGAATAAATGTTAATTCATTATCCATATTATCAAAATGCCTAATATGTGAGTGGTAAAATGTAAATTCAACAAAACTAATCTCAAAAGGTGTAAGAGTAAACCAGAAAACTTAAGAACCAGTCTAGAAATGACAATAACCGGTCTGGAGTTGGCTGAGTCTGACAAGTCGGACTGGGTTGGAGTGCTTTGTTCTAGTCAATGAAGGCTTTGGAATTTCGAACGTATGGGAGTCACGAGCTGGCTTCTGGTGGTCTTTCATGCTGATTTTCTAATGAGGGATTCAACTAGAAACCTTGGTTCTGAATTTGGTGTTGGTGTCTCATCAAGGTTGGGAAGGGGAGATCTATCAGTTACAGCAATGTTCCAGTGGATTTCTGGTTTGTGAGGAGGATTCTAGCAATGAGAGACGCTAACATTTAGTGGGTAGGCTGGTTAGTAGCCTCTTCTATCAATTGCGAGGGAGGTATCGACCACCCCTCGTTGATGGATGGCAAATGTGCCAATCAAATTTTGTGTTTAATTTTCTTTTTTATTTTCGTTTTTTTCTTTAGCTTTTCCGGAGGAGAGACCAGAGGAGAGGAAATTCTCTTTAGAATATGTTGAGAGCGTTCTTGGTGTTACCTGAGGGAAGATGAGTGAATTTATTTAGCAAGAGAGCTTTGGGGAAACAGTGGTGGTAGAGAGAGGTTGGTGCGTGCCTGCAGGAGGAACAGTGTGTTTAAACCAAAAGCAGAGGTGTTTTTCAGAAAGGAAGCCGCTAAGTAAATTAAGGTAGCATGATGAATGGAACTTTGGCTCTGACATCAATTATTGTGTAGAACAAAGAGAACTTGAGTATAAGACTTAGAGAAAATTTATTGAATACCAAGACTAGAGATCTTGGATTTTAATAATTAAATCGATAATTGAAAATTTGAATAATAATCATATGAATAAGTTACCTAATATCTAATTAGGTATTCTATTTATAGACACCAAATTCTACCAAAATAAGAAATCTGTCTGTGAGAATTTCACTAAATAGAAAATAGCTACTTTATTGAATAACTATTATGTTCCTTGCTGACAGATTGAGTTATGGGCCTATGCCCATAAAAATCAGTAGGATCTTCTTGGTATTTTCTAGTTTTCCTTCCTTTATCTGTCTTTAATATTTAAGGACTCGTTAAGAGAGAATCCTACAATCTCTTGAATAAGATAGTACTGAGAACTTGAATAAAATTTTTCCAACATAAGTTGTGAAGCAGAAAACCATAGGTTTTACAAACAAAGGAAGAGCAGTTAATTCTGGCAGTTACTTCCAGAGTCAGCCAACTGCCCCCTATTTTTCTCCCTAATTTTCACCCATTAACACAATATAACTCTTAAACAATGCCAATTATCGTTTTTTTTTCCACTATTACACACCCACAATTACAACAAGGCAAAACAACCACATAAAAACAGTCATATAAAACAACACCTGCAGATTACATCATTTCTTTTTCCTTCTTTGGCACACCTTATCAAAAGGGGTTATCTTGCCACTGATGTTTGCATCAATGACCTAGAGAATAACTGAATAATGTCCAAACTAAGTAGGAAATAATAAACTCATCCTAATAATAAGTCTATAGTTAATAATTCCTAAATCATAGGAATGCATAAACATTACGATTACATAAATGTCTCTAATTATTGAAGCATGTCCAATTTAAAATCTTCTTGTTCTTGCATCAATTCTTTTATTTTGTAGTAAGATAGTAGTTTGTGAATATGACTCTCAGAAGAAACAACAAAAATAACTAGTTTCATAGCATATATATGTATGTTAGAAGAAAAAGAAAAGGCATAAGCACTAATTATTTTTCTTGGTCAATCATCCTTGTAAAAGAAGTTCGAATATGAGTCACTTATTTAATAGCACTGATGAGCTACTTTATTTACCTTTTCTTGTTTCTATCAAAACCAGTGGACTCTAAATTTAAGCAATTTCACACTTATAGGCTTTCATGTTGATGACTCAGAAGTAACACTAAATGTGTGCTTGGGTAAGCAATTTTCTGGTGGAGAGTTGTTTTTTCGTGGCACACGGTGTGATAAACATGTAAATACGGGAAGCCATGCAGAGGTAAGCTTGTCTTTAAGGTGGAAGTTTATTGAAGTTGATGGTAGCAAAGCAGATCTTGCTATTAAATATGTGGATAATATATTTCAAAATAAAACCTATGGGTGCTGTCATTAAGGCACGCTTTTTCTTTTCTTTGCCTTTTGTCTTGTCTCTTAAGATATAAGGTGTTGTAAATCATATCTCTTTTAAAAAATCATGGAATTGCAACGTGAAAGAGTTGCTTTCTCTTTATTGTATATTGCTGTCACACAATTGATTGGTTTGACCACCCAATTCTCGAGTTAAAAGTAAAAATATTTTGCATATGTTGTGATTGCATTTAATCTTTTTAATTTTCATTTAATTTCTAGCTATTAGTTACTTAATATGTAGATATTAGTGCTAATTTACATGTTTAATAGATAATTTAACTAACCTTACTAATATCTTCTATTTCACAATGATATATTTGTGTTTTCACCTGTTAAGAAAGAATTAAAAAAATAGTTGAATTGAATGTGGAATTAATTTATAGTTATACATTTTTTAATTTAAATTCTTATCTAATTTGTAGTGTATTCTCATTCCAATTTTTATGGAATTTATATCCAATTCTTGTTTGCATTTTGGTTGCTAGGTAAAAATGCCATTACAATTTAGTTATGCTGACTTAGCACGATAAGGATCAGTTGTATACTTTTTGAAAAAGAATTTGGGTAAACTAGAATCTTGTATGAAGTCATGACAAATTTTGTCTTCTACTATTTACTAAATTCCTTTATTTTTTTAAAAGAAAAATTACTAATTTTCTTCTTAACTTTGATGTAATTTAGATTATCGTGTGCTTACCCCCTCTTTAATGGACTTGGGATTGGAGCATCCAAACAAAATGACATTATTATTAATATTCTAATACTGTGGAATATTGTCAGAAGAGTTATGTAATTTTAGTAATCTTATTTTGCTAGTAGCTTTCTTGTGTTTTGGGATATCTAGTGTCAAAATAATTATGTAGTTCTAATAATCATATTAGGTTGGTAGCTTTCTTGTTTGAAAGACATTTAAATGATTACCCAAACTTTGACGGAACATTATTTGTAATGTCAGGAAGTCTTTGATTATTCTCATTTTCCTGGAAGAGCTGTGCTACATCGTGGTCGTCATCGACATGGTGCTAGAGCGACACCTCTGGCCACCGGATTAATCTACTTCTTTGGTGCAGAAGGTATTAGATTTTGCTAGTATATCCTTGATGAATTTCTTCTATCAAATACCTCTTGGTAAGATTGAAACCTTGTGGCATTTCATTAGCTGTTCCTCCCACTTTCTAGCTTTTCCACAAATGTTGTTTATTCCATCTGTTTTTTTTTGTCTAAAATCCCATTCATCTTGTCCCTCGCAGTTCAGTATTCAGAGAGATGAAGAAGTACCAGAAGGATTGTTCCAGCTGGTGTGGAGAATGCCATCGTGAAAAAAGAGAAAGGCAGCGGTTGTCAATTGCAGCCACCAAAGTGGTATGTGACTTTACTATTACATGTATATGCACACATTGACATGGTAATAGGCAACCTAAATACCTTGCATTGTCAAGATATAGGGAGTTGAATGATTGCACCAAAACTCTTTTCTGCTTGTATAAAGTCTGAAGGAGACTGATAACAGCATACTTCAAGTAGGGAGCTATGTGAAGCCGAATTACTAGGACTCTCAGGTTGAGTTCGGATTTAAATTTTAATTATGTAATATAATAATGGGAATGTAATACAAATAGAATAGGAAACTTGAGTGAAAATAATATTTTAATATCAAGTCAATTTTACGTCCAATTCAAAATAAGTTTTTTTTAGAAGTACGAGTACAAATTTATCATGGTAGATTTGAAGATATGAATGGAGTTTATTAAATTCTGCATCAACTAATAAACTATGAGTAACTTCTGTAAACTATATAATTAAGATATAGGAATTGAATAAGACTAGAATAAGCTTGAATTGAACGTAATGTAACCAGGCTTTTAGGATTGCTTGTCATTACTGTGCCTCCTCTTCCTCTTTTATGGGAAGCTTCCGTTCTCATATTTAGTATTTCTCTTGATTCTAACTAATGTTTTATCAAAATTTCAAACTGGATTTTAGATGGGTTGATTTTCTGCAGGAATTGCTTCGGAGGGATGGTGAATCTGCAACCTGAGTCGAGTATTTATAATCGAGATGTCTCTGTAAAATTATGTAGCTGTAATCATAATTCAGATGCCAATTGCGTATTGACTTTTCTGCTTCATCTTAACAGGAAAGGTGGGTGTATGTACAATCTTTGTGTAGTAGTAGTAGTAGATGGGATGGCTTCCATTGTAGCAAACATTTCGGAAAGTTCTGTAAATTTTTAGATCATGGTCTTGAACCATTTCAGTGGTTGTATTTCAGAAGCCATTAAATAGCCAATTGAATTGAGTTTTGTAATATCCCCGCTCCTTTCCAATGATTGACTATAAAATTTATTTATTTTTTCAGCTGAAATGCTAGAGGATGCCAATCTCTCAAGGCAGGATCTTTGTTCTTATTCATAGCCAGTTCATAGTGTAGTTTAAACTATAGTTTTAACCTTAATGGTTTGGAAAATTCAAATATAGTATATTTTTTTAGCAGTTCAGAATTTTGCAGTTTTTTAGTCAATTAATTTAATTATTTCTATTTTTTTTTAATCATTTGTTCATTCATTTTGACTTGAAACTTTACATTTCTGCGTTTAACCCTAGTAAATTGAAGAGTACCAATAGGAAAGGAAATTATAGGATAAATTTAACGTGTTTGATTCGTTTTGGGTTAATTTTATGGGTCAAAGAGTGCTTTTTTTTTTCCTTTTTCCATTTAATTTTCTCCATTAAAGAAAAAAAAAATTTAAATGAAAACTTCATTAGCTTAATTATTCACACTCAAATGGACACACTTTTGTAGAGCTACAACTGTAAATTATATATTTTAGGCAATAATTATTTGGTATGCTGTTTCCAATTCTTTTTAACTTATTCAATTACTTGTTAACTATAGTGGAGATATACTTTTAGATATGATGAAGAGTATGTGGAAGTTGGGGGTTGAATGGAGGCACGAATTTGGTCACAAAATTTGTTCCTATTTTAGTTTGAGAGAAAGAAGTATCTATAGAGAATTTGTCAGGGTGCCATTTGACAATTTGAAAAAGCAGTACTATGCTCGAAATAGTGGAGGGGGAGAACATCTTAATGAGGTCCAACGTTTCCATATTGAAATACAGAGTCGTGTGTACAATTTTTGCCCCATAAGTACATAAATAAGGAGGTTGTATGGAGTTGTGCGAAGATGAGCGAACTAGTGGTGGTTGATCTACTCTTGGAGGAAAGGTCTCTTTCCTTAAGGTTAGGGTCTCGGTTGATGTACACCAACTTTTACCTTAAGGGACGATTATACTCTTCAATGGCTGAAAGGAGTAGGTCTCCTTCAAATATGAACAATCTCCCTTTTGTTTTATATGTGGAAGACTGTGCCATAACATGAGATTCTATGGTGAGAAGAAGGAAGATGAATGTCGGCAGGCAGGGAAGACATAATATTTAGATGAACTGAGATGTCTTGTGTATGGCGTGAATAAAATATGGGATTAGAAGAGCAACCATGACGGGATGGGCTAATAATACTTATGACAAAAATGCAACAACAGATAGTGGGTGTCAATGGGCAACTCCAATGGATGTGAAGGGGGAAGAAACCATTACAGGGAAAATTAGGGGAAGTAAAGTCATTAAGCAAAATCAATAGAGGGTCCCAAGCCTAGAATCCTTGCTAACTTCCTATATTTTTTTGATTGAGACAAAGACAAATGAGTATGAGATGTAGGCAATGAAGCAAAAAATAAATCACAAAAATGTATTTATGGTATTTTATAATGAAAATAGTAGATTGTAACAGGTGGCTTAGCCTTATTATAGAATAATAATTGGCCAGTGAATGTTTTATCTTTGTCTCTCCATCATATTGATATTGTTGTCACTAATCATGATAATAGTTGTTGATTAATTTATGGGTATCTATGAGTGATGGAAATCTCATCTAAAATCATGTACTTGGATCTTATTGCATGCATCGAATTATATTAATGATTATCATAGGTGATTGGTGGAGACTTCAGTAATATCTTGCTCTCTTTAGGTCATATGGTTTCTTTTCAAGAATTTTGATTGGATTATGATGTATATGATCTTGGATTTACTGGATACCAGTTCATTTAGAATAATGGTCACAAAGGGAAAAAAAATATTCAAGAATGCCTTAATAGGTATACGGTTTCCCCATCATGAAAATATTTGTTTCCCTATTATAGTGTTCGATATCTTGTTAAGCATGACTATGACTATGCCTCAAACTTACACAAGAAATAAAACAAAGGAGAATACATCTTATGTAGATTTGAGCAAAAAAAAATGTCAAACTATGGTGGCAAATGTATGACATAGATATGAGAGGAACTACAATGACTAATTACTAAATTGTACGGGGCAACTGAAACTGTGGGAGAAAAATATGGTGGATAATATAAAATAAAGAAAGTTGAACTAGGTAAATCACAATCACGATGCAACACAGAAGAGGTGATTAGTTAAATATGAACTCAAGAGAATGAGCTTGATGAATTATGCCACAAAGAAGAATTACTGCAGACATATAGATCAAGAGTTAACTGGTTAGCCTGTGGACAAAAAGACACAAAGTTCTTTCATAATAGAGCCTCTGAGAGAAAAAGAAAGAATACTATATGCAAGCTTAGATTACCCACATGGGAATGGATAAATGACCCTGCATATGTGAAGTTTTCTAAGGCATATCTCAACAGTCTTCAGCTTAGCTCTAGGAATACAATGGATATAATGTTGGATTGTGTGGCCCTTAAAGTCATGCCAGTTGTGAAGGTTCTTATTTTCATAGTGTTGGATTGTGTGGATATATATTAGATTATATTACTCTCTGCATCATATACAGAATAAGAGTTATTATTACTTTTTAATAGATGCATCCCGCAAAGGTGATATGACCAAATGGTATATCTCATAGTTTATATCAAAAGTTTAGGCATATTATAAAGCATGATGTAGTGCATTTTGGTTTGGGGGTGTTTAATAATGGGGTTGAAAAAAAAAGAACCATATATTTATTATTTTGATCCTAAAAATTAAAAATTCACAATTCCCTTTTGATTACATGCTTATTAGTCTATGAAATATTATTAAGAAATTAATCATAAAATGCATCCTAATATACTTAAGAACTTTTTGAATGATATTACCAACAAAACACAATTGGCTGTAATTCCTGGGTGGCATATCACAAACAATACATATCTTACTTTTGAATCTTTTCATTTTTTAAGAGCCTAATCGAACGAAGGGATGAACACTTTGCTTTAAAACTTAATATTAATAAGACTTATGATCATGTGGATTGAGATTTTTTTGGAGAGAATGCTTGAGCATTAAGCTTTTATTTACATATTTCGCTCTTATTATGAAATGTGTTACCACAGTTTCGTATTAGATCCTAATAAATAAGAAACCTTCTTGGTTTATTTGCTGGAGGATGAGACTTTGTCAAGAAAATCCCCTTTCTCCTTAACTATTTATCTTATGTTCAAAGGGTTTTTATACAAAGTTGAGTATAATTGAAGCTGAAGGGCCCATATATGGGGTCAAGATACGTAAAACAACACCTCTACTCTCTCATATCCTTTTTGTGGATGATAATATTATTTTTAGGAGGGCAACACTGAAGAACTATGAGAAATTCAACACCTACTTTCCACCTATACAACTATCTCTAGACAAGTAATAAATTTACAGAAGTCTACAATAAAATTATCCAAAGAACCGAATTTCTTAAGATGACATCAACTATTAAACTTAGTAGGAGTTCAGGATGTGGGATACGATGACAATTGTATTTGGGTCTTCCTACAATTTTTGGTAAATCTATTTCCTTATAATTTAATATCTTGGTGGATAGATTAACAAAATGATTACAAAGTTGAAGGTCTTATAAATTATCATAAGTATGACAAAAGGCCTTAATGAAAGTAGTGACACAAGTGATTTGTGACCATGTGATAAGTATACTTTTCATCTTTAAGGTGATATATACTAAACTAAGAAAACTTATATAAGTTTTGGGGGAGAAAAATGAAGATGATCAGGCCTCACATTGCCTATGGCTGGCAAAATTGTGCTACAGTAAAATGCGCGGTGGGCTCGAATTTTAAGCTTGGAGTGTAGCACCTGGAAAGGAGGAGGAAAAAAAAAAAAAAAAAAAAAAAAGGGGTGCCACGTCAGCAGGCCCGGTCAGCAGTCCCGGCCAACCAGGGCCTGCCACGTGGCAAGATCGCGTCACTCCGAAAGGAGCCACGTTGGCGATCCGCGTGGGTGCGATCCGACGGCCCAGATCAATCACGCGATCGGACGGCCCAGATTCAAACGCACGGACGGCCCAGATTCAATCAAAAACGAACGGCCCAGATTAAAACGAAATGAACGGCTGTGATCAAAAGGCAAGGGGTTATAAATAGAACCTCCACACCAGACCAAAAACCCTAGCCGCCAGCCGCTCGCCGGAGAAGACGAACCAGAGGTCGACCGCCGCCACCCGCCGCCACTCGCCGCCGCACCGGGGAAATTTCCGACCGCCGATCGAGGTAAATTTCATACCCTCGACTCGTTTTTCCCCGTTGATTCCTCCTATGGCCAAATCGAGGCCGAAATCCCGGCCAAACGGCCGGAATACGCGGCCGAAGCCCAGCGGCGCCGCCGCGCCCCCTCTCGGTTTTTGCCTCCGACGAGGCCCTTCCCGGCCTCCGTTCGATGCAATTTTTATATCACCGTGATCACCATTCTTTTCTCTACAGGTTGACCGGAGCCGAATCACCAAAACACGAACCTCGCCGGAGAGCCGCTGCACCCGAGAGCGCCGCCGCCGGTAAGCTCCGTTTTTCCGTGATTTTTTGGCCCCCCGAGGGCCCTAGGGTTGTTTTCTGACAAGGACCAATGCGAGAGTGGCCGAATTCGGCCGAAAACGGCCGAAAACAGTCAACCCGAGGCGACTCGCCGCCGCCAGCGGCGGCGCCGTCGCCGGAGCACGGCGGAGCCGCCGTGCCGGAGTTGCGATTTGGGCCGAAAGAGGCCCTGGGCCTAATTTGGATTTTTTTGGAACACGTGCAGGTACTGTTAGTGTGTTTCAGTTCCCCGGGAAAAATTCAGGGAAAATTAGGGACAGCCTGCAGGCGCACTGTGAATCGTATTCGGATCCCGAAAACAAGTAAGGACCCCTCACCCTATTTCCTATCACGGTATTAAAGTTCAAAATGATAAAACGGTATTTCTTGAATTAACGCATGTGTGAAATTGCTTAAGGTTGCTAATGGAACCCGAGTCTAGTGTGATTGATGATTTACTGTTATTTGGCCTGTTTACAGCTTTAAATGCAAAATGAG